TTCAAAATTAAATTTGACTTAAATAATAGCAGTAATAATTAAAAGAAACACAAATTTTACCATTAAAATTTGAAATAATTATATATATATATATGAATAAATAAGAATATTAATTTTTAATTAAAATATTTCAATTTATATTGATGCTATACATAAAAGAATAATACTTAAATACATATATGTTTTTTTTGTTCGTTCCTGGAGTATCCACTGCCGATAGTAGTGACTAATCTCCTTGCTACGTTGGAGGCACCTCAAAGAGTGGGATAGCTGACCCCAAGATTTAACGCGGCTACATATACAAGGCAGGATTCGAACCAAAATTTAACGGGAATTTGAAATTTAATTTAATAATTTATATAAACTTTTATTATAAAAGTTATTAAGATAAAATTATATATTGACCTTTATTTACTTAATATAGACATGCATAGTATCAAGTCATATCAATATTTAATAGATATTATTTGTTAATATTATATATGTAAGTCCAATAGATTTAAAGTTGCTAAGATAAATAATTTGAAAATTTTATTCTTTAGTTAAAAATAGGAGTTTAATTCTTACTTTAAATTTCAACTGTAATTAAAAGGTATCACTTTTTCTTTAACTTTAATATGGAGAGTTATACCCATTAATTAAAAAATTGTAAGTCCATTATATTTATATATTACCGACAAATTAATCGGGGTTTTCGTAAAATCAATCATATTTTCATTTTCTATACCAAATTAATTGAAGTTTTCCTAAAATTAATTCAATAGATTAAAGTTAAACTAAATGATATATACTTATAAAAATAACAATTATATTGTGGTCTAAATAAATATACATTTAAATAATTTTTAATTAATTATCTTCCATCAATCATTGATTCTAATTTTTCGAGTTCTTCTTCATATATAAAATCTTTTGCAAAGTTTGTTCACATATTATGCTTATTAAATTCTAAAAAAAATATCAAATATGAAAAATACGCTAATTTGTGAAATAAATATAATATTTTTTTTATATAAATCCATAATAATTTGCATATAAAATTTTTAAATATATAATTATAATTATAATTTGCATATTAAAATTTTTTCATAAAGGCATGAATCTTTTCATATTATAATTTTAATCATAAATAAAATATTTTAGTATGAAGTTAACACTAAAAAAAGAATAACTCTACTTACTTTTATTTAAACGGATAAAAAAACAATAAAGATAACTATCGTAAAATCAAAAGAAGCCAAAAATAGAGGAATATAAATATAATTTTGCTACAAATGAGAATATACATAGATAGCTGGCCCCAAGATTTAACGCGGCTGCATACACAAGACAGGATTCGAACCCCTGACCTTGCTTAAGCGTGGATCAACCCCTACCACTGAACCACACGCTTGTGGTTAACTGAGATATATCTAGAGTATATTCTAATTATTATTATTATTATTATTATTATTATATATATATAT